GAATCAGCATTTCTTACTGGTATGAGTGTATCTCCTGTGATGACGATTCAAATACCGCACCTGTTGTACATGCACCACGTTTTTCCTCTTTACACACAAACCCATCTCCCTTCCCAGCAGCACCGCCATCATCACCAGTCACACACTCTGTCACACACTCAATCTGAATGAAGCACATGTTACAGTGCGTGGGTCGCATCCCTTACAGTGTAGGCGCACCAAAACCTAGCCCACACACACCGTAAGGTTTTACTCATCGAAAGTAGCTGTAACACTCAATTTGAGAAGTGGGCGTGTAGTACACGGGCATTTTTGGGAAGAAACGCCCTTTCTAGTAATGTGTAGTTTCGGTCATATCCAGAAATTGTGCAACAAAGGAAGGATAAAGAGCAACCTATTGTGTTTTTTTTCCCGCTTATGTGTCCCCACATTCCTCTTCCGAGATGACCTTGTTTTGACCTCTCGCTTTTACAACCACTAACTTTCACGTTCTCTGTAACTCCCACTCTTCCTCATATCTTTCCAGAAGTATGCCTTAACAGAGAAGCGCCTCTGACTCGACATTTGTCATACAGATGATCGTAAGGATTTCATCATTGTTTTCTTAATAGATAATGCTAATTAAGAGCAACAGATATATGTCCTATTAAGGAATCAATGAGGTGATTTAGGACAGATACCTACAAAACAATCTTTAAAGAGCTTTGGAATCCAATTTGTTTTTTGGCCACAACTGCTTCAGATTATATTTAAAGGGTGTGGGTTTAAAGTGCTAATAAGGCCATGTAAACTCATCCCAATGAGCTCAGAGAGGTTCTCCCTCATCGGGTTACGTCCCGGTTTCCAAGGTGATTTCACCCCTTGCATAATCTCTTCCTGCTGCGGTGTCCTTTGTCACTTTCTCTTTCAACAGTTGGGGGGAACTCCCCTTAAATTTGCATTGCGGCTCTGACCGCAAGCTGAAAATGCTCTAGCACGTGTGTGTGTGTTTCTGACTCTTGGAGTGTGTGTGTTCTCTCTCTACCTTGTGCTTGTGATGCCAGGTCACAGAAAACACGTTTGTAATCAGTTAACTGTACAGAGACAGTGAGTGTTAAATAGATGAGTTTCCCATTCTGTTACAGCTAGGCCCTCAATATGGAGTGGTGGAATATTAAAGTCATAGTACGGCAATATTTGGTAAAGGTAATAAATGTGCAAATATTTTAAAAAAACGTATTCTACAGACTTAACTGTCATTTGAGCAAGCACGTGAAAATATTTTGGAAAATTTATTTATTTATTTTTTGTGATGTATCAAGGCTAAAATGACACTATTTCATGTTTTGTTTTTTTCAAAAGATTTGATTTGATTCATCCATCTTACACACATTTTTTATTGAACCCATGTTACCACTATACTACATCCACATTACAACCATGTTACTTCCGTGTTACAGCCCTACAGTATGATACACCATGTTAAATCCCTGTTACACCCAAATATTACACCGATCTTACTCGGTTATTTCACCTTTTTATCTGATTATCTGTAGGGTATAGGCTTCAAATTATAAGTGTATCTGTGAGGGAATATCCCCTATTCATCCCCTTCTCTGGGCAGTGTCTCCCAGGATACATTTAGGTTTAATAAAAAAGACCCCTGTTTGGCACAAGTAAAACAATGATTATTATTCAATGATTATCTGAATAATGTTAAAAAGATACTCAGTCCCTATTATAACATAAATCCTATTAAGACATATATGGTATTTCCATATTGTGGAACCATGGTTTGCTTTTTATTGCTATCACCGTCAGCAAAGGTTTTTGCGGCATAAAACTTTTGGGGTATTTTTCTTTTTTGGCCAAACTTGCGTCACTTTGCTGGAGAACTGCAAAATATTTGTGTGCAACAGCGTGCTTGCTGTGAGTCTCTGCTTCACCACAGCTCACGTGAGGCCACATTGATGGTCCCGATAGTAGCCCGCTGCACAGGGAAGTTACCAGCAGAGAAAAAAGTGATTGACATGATAAAGAAGAAGAGTCAAGAGAAGCTCCATTCATGAGGCAACATGCAGTTTGATCCTTTTATAGAGGGTTTTTCAATTATTTATCTTAGTTTGCTAAATCCTCTTCCAGTAGGGCTGCACGATTTGCTATAAAATAACTGTGATTCCTTTTTACTAATCTTGCGATATGATTCACAATACTGCAGAGATTAGATAAACAAATAATTCATTTTTTTTGGCAAGAAAAGAGAGATTGTACAGTGCAATCAGAGAGATACAGTATGTCCACGTTTTTGAGCAATTCCACGAATCCAGTCTTTGTCAAGTCTGTCACCACCTTCGCGCAGCTGCTGGCGCCACTTCGTCCGGTCCTCCGCCAGCCTCTCCCAGTTATCCATCGCAATGTCCAGGGCCTTCATGTCACGTTTTACGACATGCCTTGAATAATAATGATTATCATTGATGTGATTTCTTAAGATGACCGGTACAAACACGGATTTTTATTAAGTTTGTAGAATAATTTTTTTAGGCTGGAATATCCCTGCTGCGCCATAATACTTTATTCAATTATTTGTGTATTTCATCACACATATGTAGCCCGTATTGGTCCATATTGCGATTATAATGACATTTTTATTATTTTTACAGGCAAACCTTAAAGGTCCCATGTCATGCTTTTCCGGTTATTACCCGTCCCCTTGTGTGTTATGTAGCTTTTTATGCATGTAAACGGTCTGCAGAGTCACAAACCCTCAAAGTACACCCTGTAGGGATCAAAACTCTAACACAGAAAAGACCTGTCTATGCTGCCCCAGAACGCCTCGTTGGAGATTTCTCTTTTTCCATTCTTTGCTTCCTGGGTTCTGTGATGTGTGAATACCCAGATCAACAACAAATGACCGGATTGGCCCAAATGGTCCAATCCGTGGAGCACCTCACACACCAGGATCCCTTGGCTAACTAACAGGGCGTCCGTCCCATTGACTTGCATAGAGCTCCCTGAACGCTGGTAATAGACGAGTTGGGATCGCGGAGAAATGCTCTCCGCAGATCCATTCTCACAGCGTTTATCAACCTTTTTCTAACTCAATATCAAGCCACACTTATTGTTTTTACTTCGGCTGTGAGTGTTTGTATGTGCTCAGGATGAGTTTCGCTGTGTCTCTCTGTATCGCCGACCCGGAAACCTGTCCGCTCCTCACAGCAGCGAGCCTCGCAACTTCTCGACCAATCAGAGCACACTGGGCTCACGGGGAGGGGGGGGCAGGAGCTCCAACAAGCTGTGTAGGACAGAGAGTGAATACACATACTATACAGAGATGCTGTATGAGAAACCAATGTGAGTTTGGAAAATTGCACAATATAAATCTATTCTAGTAGACCTCAACAATAGAATTATGATCAGTAGAAATGGCCATGACATGGGACCTTTAAAGCACCAGTCTGACTTGTTGGACTGCATTCAGTCTTGAGTTGTATTCCGTTACAGAAAAGTTGACACATTTTTCTGCTGCTAAATGGTTGAAAAACTCTGCTACGCTTATATCCTAAACAGATTCAAACTTTTCCCCTGAAAATGATCCTGTTTACAAACAGATTTCCCCCAATATGAAAATAGCTTATTTTCAGAAATAGCCATTTCATTATTTTAGTTTTTGCTTTGTGGATGATCAATGGAAGTTTTTGATGGCATAGTCTATGCAGCATTTCCTTCACCACACACACCTAAGACCTACAAATTGGCAATAATATATATATATGTTTAAACTGAGTTAAAAACCCTGCGAGGACGTCAGCAACGTGCGGCTCGCTGCAGCTTCCTGCTTCCTGCTGGCTGCTCTTGGGGAGTTTCTCATCTCTGTTTCTGTTTGTTGTTTGATTTGTTTTGTGGTTTTCTGTCCGACCCATTTGTTGTATTACAGCTGTCTGACGTGCGCGCACAGACTGTGCACGTCAACACCGTCAATATGGGTCAGCTGAGGGTGTGATGTGCAGTTTGTTTGTCTGTGAGTTTTGTATTGAGCACTGTCAAAACAACTGCCCAGTTTATCATTACTTCAGTTGCCAGGGAGACCATTGGGACCGGTTTGACATGGTTCACTGCTGTTGTTTGCCTAACGCTGTAGTTCATTTCCATGTGTGGATTTCTTTCTTACCCAGAGGTGCTATTTAAAAAGGCCAGACGAAATGGGTTAGAAAATTGTTGATTTATTTTTGCGATGATTTAGTGTGTATATATATATATATATAGGAATGGGTGGATCCAAATAGGGCTTCGCAATGTGGGCTAATGCAGTGCTCAAAAAACAAACTTAAATCCAATTTGTTTCCCAAAACAACTCAACTCGTACTGATCGCCGATATTTATGCCAATGCGCTCTTTTACCCAAATGTTAAATCTGTATACTGTATTGATGAAACTCATTGGAAATATTGTATTGTATTATTTTATTTCTTTAGTGATACAAGGCCAGAGATTGCTGTTGCGAACGTAGTCTGGTGGCTTTAGACTTTATGAATATTACTAATCGCAGAAGCATAGAATTTCTATTTTATACATATATGATGTTTTTAATTGTTTTGATTATAAGTGTGACCATTTTCTGGGCTTTGATTCCTTAATACTTAAATTTTCTTTTAGATGTTTTTGTAATACATTTTTAAAAAGGAATTGTAAAACATACTGTATTTCAAAAATAAATTAAGATATAATATACAGCCTTTTTTCTCCTCATTGATTATTTAACACACATATTTATAAATGATTATATCAAGCAGTATTTTATTTTACATTTAGTTTCATATTAATCTACATTTCATGCATGTAGTTAGCTTAATCCTGCATTTACCTTGCATGATAGTGTCATTAGCATTAGTTATGTCTTTTTTTTTCTTCTATCCATCTCCGCTGCTTATCAGTCACAGTGCTCAGTGGTTGTCAAACACCTTCCTGATGTGTCCCTCCTCCTCCTCCTCCTCCTCCTCCTCCTCCTCACTGTGTCGCTTCTCTTTTCCTCCTCCTCTCCAGTCACGGCCTTCATCGGTTCTTCTCCTGTCGAGGGATAGCGCTGGCTGTGGAGACATTTTGGAGGCGGGGCCACAGGGAGATCACAGTGTTTGTCCCCCAGTGGCGTCAGAAGAGGGACCGACTCACAACAGGTACACAGGGCAGACTCTCAGCTGTGTGGTTGCTATGTAACAATAATGATCCTGGTTCCATTCTGGCCTCGAGGTCCTTGGTTGAATATCACATCCCCCTTCTCGTTCTCTCTCCCTCATTTATACACTTGTCATCTGTCGAATAAAGAAACCGAATGTGAAAGTGTTGACTTTCAGCTTTTAAGATTGTTTAAGTGAAATAAAATAAGATTATAGACATTTTTAAATACCATGTACACGGGATCAAATCAAAACTGATGTCACTATAACCATTTAAAAATGATTGTTAAAGTAATATAATGTAATTTAATACGCTTTCATATCAGGCCTCCTGGTAAAAAATAATCTACAAATGCTTTTTTAAACGATCTATATACCTGCATGTTTGAGCGTGCAGGATCTATTTCTCTGTGTTTTCTTGCTTTTCCATTTGTCTTATTTTGTAGTATAAATATAACACGTTTATTTTGCAGAGCAACACTTTCTAAACCAGCTAGAAGACCTGCGACTGCTCTCCTTCACTCCCTCCAGAGAGGTGTGTGGCCAGAGGATATCCTCACATGACGACAGGTACACACACAGCCTTTAACCTTTGAGGAGAGAGTCCTCCAGACGGCTAAAACAACACAGACACAAGAGATGGAGGTGTATAGCAGAGACGTAAATCATGCTGTTATAGAGCCGGGATCGAACCGCTCGCTTATCTCTGGGCGCTTCAGTTCCATTATGAACTTATCTCCTCCTCCCCTACGCAAAAATCCAACATTATGTTTCCTTGACTCACCCCATCCATCAACAACTACAGTCATAATGTATTTTCAAACAGGGATGATGAAGCTGACTACTAGAGGACAGAGCCAACAGACCTTAAATAAAATAAGTGGTGTTTTATGATTTAATAGATATTTTTAATGTTGTCATTCTGGTAAAGCCAGATTTTGATCATCACTTTAGGTGTGTATTTCCCTGTGAATTCACCAGCTTCTGACCTTTGACCGCAGGGAAACTCCTGAGTGTCTAATCCACACTTTCTGTCTCTTTGATAGGTTCCTGCTCCACCTAGCAGAAAAAACAGACGGGATCATCGTAACCAATGACAACCTGAGGGACTTTGTCGACACCTCGGACACCTGGCGCAAGATCATTCAAGAGAGGTGACTGTTAATGACGTATCACAGCTTAGTCAGTCGTTACGTTTCCATTACCCAACTTGCCATTGGGAAGTCCACAAGGCACACTGACAGCTGGATGACGAATGTTAACTCTGTAGCGTTTACACCTGAAGCCTGGCAGATTAAAAATCATACTTCACTTTATCAAATACTGATATTATTTTTTCTTTCACTGATAGGTTGCTTCAGTTTACTTTTGTGGAGGACCACTTCATGATCCCTGATGACCCTCTGGGGAGAAACGGACCGCATCTAGACTTCTTCCTGCGTAAAGACAACAGGTATGTTTTATCCACAGATGTGTCTATCGTTAGCCAAAACCTTAAAAAATACTTGGTTGTAGTGTCATTGAAACACTTGCAGTAATATTAAATAAAGACTATACTTGCAAAGCTTAGGGGAATACTCAATTCTGATTGGTCAATTAAGACGTTCAGCAGTCTGCTCTCTTTCAATTGCAGAGCGTTACTAACAACGCTCTGATCAAGGGATACGCAGTCATATCAAAACGCAGAAAGAAGTCCGGTCAATTTAATGGCAGCCGTTGGCAAAACAAACACATCTGTCTTCGTAAATAAGAAAACCCCATGGAATGTTTGTTGAATGTTATTTTTTATATTTGTGGAGAGCAAAAAACTTGGGATTCATTCTGGCTAAACTGTCCCCAGTAAAAAATAAAGGAGAACAAAAACATGAAAACAGTGCAAGGAAAGGAACGAGGTAGAAACACAGAAAGCTGGAGTACAGATAAATCAGCATCAGCAGCAGCAGCAGCAGCAGCAGAAGAAGAAGACAGACAGGAAGTAAACACTTAAGGGAACACGGTATTGGCTGTGGAAGTGTTTAAAGACCTCTTTATGGAAAATCAATGTGAACACACCTGGACAGTTACAGAAAACCTTGCTCGGTGCTGCCATCATTTTGCGGTTACGTTGCTGTCACCACAGCTCCAGCCGTTGGCACACAAGGAATGGACTAATTTTTTGAAGAAGAAGCAAAACAATCCTTTTTGAATCCATACAATTATTTTTAAATCGGTATGTTTATTTGGGCTTGTGTTGCAGTGAATGGGCTGTTGCACCTTTCACACTCTCCCCCTCTTATTTTCTCTCTTCCTGTCAGGAGGGCCCCGCCCACTCCTCCCCCTATGAGACCCCCATGCTTCCGGCCGTCGTCCCAGCAGCAGCTGCCGCTCTACGTCCAGGCCCTCCACTCGGCTCCTCGGACCCCCGCCTCCACGCCGCTACCCCCTTCCTCTCTGACGCCCCACCAGACGCACTGGCCCCACTCCGGCCCACCCGAGTGGCTCCCGCCCCCGCCCCGCCGTTCCCCGTCGCCCTCCCCGCCTCCCCAGCGGTCGCCAGTGGAGACATCGGTGCTGAAGAGACAGCTTTACGACATCTTCCCTGACCATAAGCAACGCATCGACCGCATACTCAGCGACAACCCGTACATGAGAGACTTAAACGCCCTGTCGGGGCTGCTGCTGGGATAAAAAGACACACACTGAACATATGAACACATGTACAAGAATATACGTGTCGGCATAAAACAATTATTTATTTTACCAATTATCCCAGCTTGGAGTGCACAGAAAAGTTGTATTTAATAACGTTTTTTTAAGACTGATCATCAAACTAGCTGCTATCGGCAAAACAGATATTTTTTGAATATTTTTCTCTCCCACCTCTTCGCTCTCAAATTGATCACTGACACAATCACTGGTGTCTACAGAACCAATTAAAAAAGTGTCAAGCAGCAAAGTCTATATTGTTCCGATGGTAATAATTCATTGCAGATCCTTGACAACAGTCCTGAGGTTCCCTAAAGTTTGGGAACATCAGCAGGAAAAAACCACTTTGGACCAACAACTCAGTACACGATGGGTTTCCTCTCCAGAACCCTGTTTACCACCAGACTCTCAACACCTTTCTAAATATACCAGCCCTGAGCATTTTATTATACAATTTGGGACAGGTTTGCATGTGTTTTATATTTTCAACATATTAGTTATAGACTTGTTATTTTCTTTAACAGTGAACTCACTATTAGGCAGTACCAGGGTATTAAAATCTGTCAGGGAGCCGTTTCAGCTGTTTAGATGGATTTTCCACCATTTCCTTTTGCAGTGCACTTTCAGGAAGCTCTATGAGATCATAACATAACTGTAAGTGACAGTTAATGTCCGACATAAATCCCCAAAAGGATAGTAGACACAACGTTTTTTGCCGCTAACCATATACAAAAAAAACACCTTTTTAGGCATGTATTTTGATTGTATAACGATGGGCAGTGATGAAAATGTGAGGTTCTCATCTCAGATCTAAATCTAGACAGACTTTAATACTCAAAAAATTATTCCTAAAATGTCAAAACAACTGAAGATTAAATAGTGTATAAAGAATCATTATTTTCAGGTCAGCAATTTAGTGTTTTGTGATTGTTCTAATTTATTATTATTTACTTTAGAACCTCAATGTTGGACAGAAATTGGCTCAATAATCCAAAGAAAATATGACATAACCACCATCTCCATGTTCTTGGTGTTGATTTGCAAACCTGCTGTTTATAAGAGACCTCCGGGGCTGAAACTGAATTTGCTGCTCTGATAAACTGTGATGGAGCTGGGCAGTTGAACTTTTGTTAAACATGTTTGAAGCATTACTTGTTCAAGTTTGAGACTGTTAACAGTTCTCAGGAAGATTCTGTCACTGTTCTACATCTGTATTTTGTTCCAAGATGCTTACTGATTCCTCCGCCTCAGACTTTAGGAAATACATGTCAGTCCATTACACTACAACAGCTTAGATCATCCTATGTTAATTCAGTTAAATGACCAACTTTAATTAGACATCATACACCATGAGTTTGCTTAGCAGAAGAAAATCTCCAAAGACAGATTTACTTTTGTAATTAGTGTTAAATAGCTTAATTGAATGCACTGAAAGTCCTTAACGGTGTAAAACAAGGTTTCATGCTTGAATCAGTTTTTGTACGGTGAGAGAATGTTGGCCGCAGCGTGCATATTTGATGTGCATCAGTTTTGTAAAATACACAGACTTTATCTCCTTGTAAGAAAAAAAAGTATCTGCACAAAAACTTCACAAGGTGTCAAAATCTAAGTTTTGTTCGTACTTGCTATCTTGTAAGGATTACTGAAGGATTTTCTCTTTTGTTGTATTATAATGTTGTGTATATTGATTTATTTTTTGTAAATACAAGCTTTTTTTTTGCTACGGTGCAGCTATGGTTTTATGTATGTGAAAAACTAAATAAAAAAAGCAGTCCCACATATCTTTTCCTGTGTTTATTTTCATTTTCATCTGTTCATCAGTGTTTGAAATCATTTGTCTTTAATGTATTGTATTGTAAGAGGCAACATAACTGTGATGATCATAAGTTTAGTTGGAAAGAAAACTCATTTCCAATTTTGGACCATAAGGCTAGCTCTGTGTTCCCGTTTTCCAATATGTATGCTATGCTAAGCTAACAGGCTGCTTGGGATCATGGGTGTCTCTCAGTCATTATATGAGGTTGGGACAAGCCCCCCCCACTTTTTCAAATGATTAGTTTTGACCCCCCCACTTTTACCATGTGGAAAGTCCGTGAATCGCCGCGCTCTGTGGAGCGCTACTATCAAATCCATTCCACTTGCTTATTGAGAGAATGCCCAAATCAATTAAACTCCGTACCATGTTTTCACTGCTACTTTGTACCAAGGCAGATTCTCACATACCGTGCATGTTCAAGGAGTGTTGTTGTAAGGCGCATTCACACCACAGTACTTTTCCCACTTTAGTTCCGATATAGTTCCGAAATGTCGCGTTCACACCAAAAAGAGCCGGAACTAAAATGAGTTCATGAGAACCTTTTTACCCCCTTTTCGTCCCTGCTAGAGAGCAGAGACTTTCGTGGGAGAAAAAGGTTCCTATGTCTGATTGGCTGGGCGGATTGCAAACCACGCCCCGTAAAACTCCCAAAAAGTTTTGTGAAGCCGCCATTTTATTATCCTCGCATTAGCATTATTAGCATTAGCATTAGCCCAGCGCACAAAGGCAGAGAGACTAACTTATGGCAACACAATATAAAACATGGGAGCGGTGGAGATGAGGAGGTGTCGGCATTCTGGCGATTTACTCGGAAGGCTGGGGCTCCCAGCAGCTTCTACTGAAGCCTTCCCCAACCCTCCCTGGACTTCCGACCGGGGACTTCGGGCGGCCGACAGTATGCGTTGTTTGCGGCCTGCCAGTAAACCCAAAGCAGAAGAAGAAGAAGTGACGTCAGCGGCTTTATTTGCCTAATCCTCCCTCAGGGACTTATTCCGGTGTGAACATGATCTGTACTGAACTCTTTAGTTCATGAGAACTAAAGAGTTCTCATGAACTAAGTTCTGATGAACCTTTGTGGGAAAAGTACTGCGGTGTGAAAGCGCCTAGAGTTGGACAGCTCAGGGGCCTCATTTATAAAGGGATATACGCTCAAAAAATGTTTCAGGTTCTACGCAATATTTGCGATTTATAAAATACTAACTTGACGGGAAAATGTGCGGTCCTCCACGCAAACTCTAACCC